CCAGCACATCTGTTAGACGGGAACTGTCCTCATTTGATGGACAAGAAAACGGAGTCACAGACAACTGGCTAGGTGACTTGCCTGAGGTTCGCCCACCTGGCCAGGGCTGGGGATGAAGGCTAGGCCCGCCACCACTGAAGAAAGCAGACACTTCTAGCCAGCGGGGGGCCGCTGGCTAACCAACCCCCCCACCCCCACCCTTTGCGAATACTCCCTCTTCTCTTCCCCAGCACCTCGGACCTGTCCCTGTACCGGGTCCTGCTGGGGGCACGTCAGTTGGAGACCCCGGGGCCACACGCCGTGTATGCCCGGGTGAAGCGAGTGGAGAGCAATCCCCTGTATCAGGGCATGGCCTCCAGCGCCGACGTGGCCTTGGTGGAACTGGAGAAGGCCGTGGTCTTCACCGACTACATCCTCCCGGTCTGCGTGCCGGACCCCTCGGTCGTTTTCAAGACGGGCATGAACTGCTCCGTCACTGGCTGGGGCAGCCACAGCGAGCAAGGTAATTAATGGGAGGGGATGTCTAGAGAAGACGCTGGGCGGCTTGGGGGCCGCTCTGAGCACCCGATCCTTTTCTGCTGGGATGGGAGAGGGGGTCCTGGGAAAGAGGAGGGAGGGAAGGAATCAGAAGGAGCTCGCTCATTCCCTTCCGCAAAGCCCTGGGTCTTTTGGAGAAGGGTTCGAATCAAGCAGGAAGTGGGGAGGGCAGGGCTGGGCTGCCTCCTGAACATCAGCCCCGCCCCACCCCACCCCCAGACGGCCTGCCCAACCCTCGGATCCTGCAGAAGCTGGCTGTGCCCATCATTGACACCCCCAGATGTAACCTGCTCTACAGCAAAGACACCGAAGAATGGGACCTCCAGCCCCAGACGATCAAGGCAGACATGCTGTGCGCCGGTTTCGCCGAGGGCAAGAAGGACGCCTGCAAGGTGGGCGGGGCCACCGCAGGGAGCCCAGCCGAGGGAGGTGCCGATTCCAAGGGCTTCTCTGACTCACTTGAGGCTGGACCGTCTGGAAATGTGGTTTTAAAAAGCCATCCCTGGGTCACTCCCAAATGCAGGGGTCTGGAGTGGGGCCCAGGGATCTGCATTATAAACATACACCGCTAGGAGAGTCAGGGCAGGTCATTAGAAGATGGTAGAGAGACAAGCACCTCAGATCAGAAAAGAAAGGGCTGGGGGGCGGGGATGGAGCAGGAAGGGGGCTAGGGAGGGAGAACTGAGAGGTGGAGGGACAGGGCAAAGAGAAGGAAGACAGGGTCCAGGATGAAGCACAGGTGTGTGTGTGTGTGTGTGTGTGTGTGTGCTTGCTGCGTGCATGTATCTGTGCGTGTGTTGATGCACACATGCTTGCTGTGCATGTACTGTGAAATGTGTGCAAATGTGCTGTTTCATGTGTCTCTGTACATGTTTATGTGCACGCATGCTGCATGTGCACACGTGTGCGCGCATGTATATGTGCATGCGTTCTAGATATACATGCACTTGTGCATGGGTGCAGATACATGCACCTGCAGAAGCTAGCTCTCAGGTCCCTGTGACCTTGCAGGTCTCTGTCCACGCCCTGACGGTGGCCTCTGCGTTTCCTCACAGGGGGACTCGGGGGGACCTTTGGTGTGCCTCGTGAACCAGTCCTGGCTGCAGGCTGGCGTGATCAGTTGGGGCGAGGGCTGTGCCCGCCGGAACCGCCCAGGCGTATACATCCGGGTCACTGCCCACTATGACTGGATCCACCGGATCATCCCCGAGCTGCAATTCCAGCCTGCGGACACTAGAGGGGAACAGAGGCGAGGCCCGCGGGTCCAGCTGCCACCCGGGCGGAACCTGGCGCCCCTGCTGGGCGCACACGCCTTGCACCTGGTGCTGGCGGCCCTGCTCTCAGTGTTGTGAGCCCGCCCGAGCCCAGGTGCCACCGTGTACAGATGTAAATAGCTCCCCCACTCCCAGCATTTTTATTTATGGCCCCTCCAATAAACACCCAGCCTCAGGCTGCTGCCGTGCGGCTCCTGGCGGGGAAGATAAGCTGACTTGAGTTCCTGGTAGCTGGGGTAGGGCAATGCACCCTCCCCTGCCCCCCCCACACACACAAGGCAGAGGGAGGGGCTTCCAAGTGGGAGGGGGAACAGGAGTCACCTGGTACAGGAGTAGCAGCCCCCTCCCAGGAGGCCCCGCCCCCGACGCGAAATTCCAGGCGAACAGTCCCTGCCCCAACTGACGTCTGGAGTTTGCAGAGGACTGCTGGGATGGGCGCCCAGAGGGCACCAAACACCAGGAGGGAGTGCAGGGTGCCCCCTCTTCCTAGGAGCTGTCTCTCAGCAGCCTGGCAGGCTCCCCTTGATCTCTGCACCTGACACCGCACACTAGGCCCTCCCAAGGCAGGGCTCCTATTACGTGTGGTCACAGGCACACCTGTACACAAGTGCTCATGATGCCACACACATGCACACATCTGTGTGCATACACATGCATGCAGATCATGCAGCCACTCACATATGCATACATGTGCACACCGACATGCACGTTCCCATGTACAAGCAACTATGATCACACATACCTGTAACTACAGGCACTCACGAACACATACACGTGCACGTATATACGTGCACACACAGAGGCACAAGTGCCTCCCCCATACTGCCACGGGAGCCAACACTATTTGAAAGGGAATTACTTGGTCACCACTCAGCAGGCACCTGCGGTGGCCCTGATCCTGGGGAGCCCTCCTCCCATTTGTCTGCCTCCAGGTAGGAGGGTCAGTGGTCTAGCCTCAAGCATACACATTGGGAAGTCACCTCCCAAGTGGCTAAGCAGTGGCCACTCTGACCGGCAGTTTGCAAAGCTTCTTCTTGAGACAAGGGAGGGGTTGAGCCCAGTCCTGGAAGGCAGGCCCCAAGGGACAACCTGGGGAGCGGGGTTGCACTTGCCCAGGGCCTGTGTTGGAGGATGCTGAACTCGGGGCATTTGTACAGATGGGGGTGTCGGCTGCCTGCTGGTGATGGGAGGACCTGGATCTGCTCATGTGTGCACACCATCATCTATCTCAGGCCACCCTCCTCCCCTACAGGGTGAGCATGGGCTGATGAGCTTGAGACACCCCCTGGCATGGGGCTGCATATGTCCAACTTCCGTGGCCTGGGGTGTGAGTTGGTCTGTGTGAGGCAGTGACCAATGTGGGTGCACACCACTCACAAATGCTGACCTGTCACTAGGGCTCAGAGGCCCCTTAGCCCAGACCAAGCACGGGGGATGGGGATGGGAGCAGGTGTGTCCTGAAGCTGCCAGTCCAACTAGGTAGCACCCCTGGGCCAGGATATTCTCTCAGGGCTGGGAGCACTCTGAGGGGGCACCAGGCCTCCTCTGGAAAGCATGGTGGCCCAGGCAGGGGTTGTGGTGCCAACTCACTGGTAGGAGGGCAGCTGGCCACCCTCCCCACCAGGGCAGGGGTGGGAGGGCACAGACGGAAGTCTGCAGAAGCTGGCTGTGGATCGGCCCTTTGAAGGTGGCTCCCAGCCGCGTGGTTCCCTCTTGGGGCTCCTGGAACCACCTGCGGTCCAAGTGGTAGCTGGTTGACAGGTGGGAGCAGGGATTCAAAGTCCAGAGTCATCCAGACAGTGCCTGCTGTCAGACTGACAGACACCGGCAGCTGGGAGGGACACACAAGGGGGTGGGACATGGTGGTGGTACCAAACATAGAAGGCCCTGGACCTTTCCAGCATGGGCTCTGCAGGGCCCCGGGAGACCCTCATTCAGACCTCCCTCCACTCCCTCAGGCCTCTCCCTGCCCAAGGAGCCCAGCAGCTGTGTGTCGGGTGGGTAAATAGGCTGGCCAGCCTGTGTGGCTTAGGGCCTCCACGCAGACCCCCTACTCGGGAAACCCCAGACCTCAGAGCTGTTCAGAATGCCAACCTCCCACATGGAATCGGGGTTCCCCACCCCTAGGCCAATCCAACCCCTACCCGCAGCCAGGCCAGGCCCCCTGGCAGTGCTTAGCAGCCAGCAGGGGGAACCTACTTAGCTGCCTAGACACAGGGACAGGCCAAAAGAGAAGCCTGCCGAAGAAGCTGTGTGTCCCCCAGGGTGTGTGATGCTGACCAGCAGGTGGACAAGGCAGCTGCGCCAAACTGAACATCAACAGAGGCCCATGGACAGACAGAAGGATGGCTGGTGAGCGCCGTCAACTCGCCGAGCAGAGTCCTAGGGGCAGGGGCTCCCCAAAGAACTGGGCAGGGGTGGGGGTGGGGGGATGCTGTGCAGCGCAGGGGCAGCTGCTGGGCCTGGTCCCTACAGTGGCCTCTGGGTGTGGTGTGAGCACCACCACCTGCCAGCTGATACGCTCGTTCATAAATACACACTTTTATTTGCTATTTTCAGGGGAAACTGAGACGTTAAACTGTAAGCTGATAAAATACGGATACCTACAAAAGTATAAAAGTATAAATATCCCCTTGGAGTCAATTTTAGTGGGTTAAGTCTTAATGTCTTTAAATTAAAAAAAGAAAACCACAAGCCTATCTACGAGGTCAGGGTTCCAAGCCGGGCGCCCTGGCTCCGTGTGGAGCCTCCATGCGGACTCCGGAAGCATTTCTCACTAGAGGGGGAGGCGGCTGAGGACGGGGTGCCCATGACAGCTGGGGCTCTGGCGAGAGAACTGCATAGTTAGACAAGGAAGCGGGCACAATGAAGAGAGAGGCTGACGGTGCGACGTGTGTAAACACCCAGAAAGTTCCGCGAAGCCGGTCCACCCTCTCCCACCCGGTTTCATCGCAGGCGCACGCCGCCCACCCCCCGGGGGGGACGGGCACCGGGTTCTCAGGCCTGGGGACCAGAGCCAGGCACCACTCGGGGCAAGAGCAGGCTGCTGTCAGGTGCCCCCGCAAGGCAGACGGAGGGGGAGGTGGCTGGCGACCCCAGAACCAGGCAGGCGGTGTCCTGTGGTGGACGGGCCACCGGCGATGTCCCGTGGGGACCCCTTGTGCGTGGGGGCCACCGTGTAGCACCAAGAACATTGTCCTTTAATGGTCTTCGGGGTTGAGAAGAAGTCACTCCCGGCGGTCGGCGGCAGCGGCGGCCGGCAGGTCCCGGGCAGCACTAACATCTGCTCTGTGGCCTGGTCTCGCCTCTCGCACCCTCAGCCCCGATCTTTAGGGGAAACCATCAGGGCCAGGCCCCTCGCGCGGGGCTCAGAGACCCAGGGAGGGGGGCAGAGAGCAGCCTGCTCTCAGGCTCAGTGCCTCACATCCGAGAGCCCCGCTCCTGCAGAATCTGAAAGAGACGGGGCAGACGGCGATGGTGACGTGGGTGGAGGACCTGGGTGTCTGCCAGAGGACAGTGGGCTCACCCCCCAGCTCCAGCCTCTCCTCAGGCACCTGGCCAGCCAAGACCCAATGGGTGTGGGGGCAGTGAGGCTGCGGCTTGCTCCCCTGGCTTCCAGCTTGGATGCCCCATGTCTCCTGGCATTTCTAACGCGAAGCGGGGCACACCCAGCAGCTGGGCGGCGGAAGCAGGACTCCAAGGGAGACTCGGTGGCTGGCTCAGCGAGAGCCGCAAGTTACTGCCTTGCCCACTGACCCCTCCACCCAACACCAGCCTCCAGCTGAGACATGGACCCCACACTGTCTGTCACTCATGACAGCCACCATTTGAGGCCTCCTCAGGCGACTTGCCCCCAAAGGCTTCCCCCTCAAGAGAGCCGCGACCTGCGTGCTCCCTGGCAGCCCCCACCTGCCCGAGACCCACCTTGGCCTTCTCGCTGGGTTCGCTGGCTGTGCCGTGGGGGGCGTTGTGCAGCTCCTTGGAGACCACGCACAGGAACTCGGCCTGGTCCTCGCTCCCATAGTTGTAAGAGGAGCCGATGCTGACCAGCTGGGGCAAGACAGCACCAGTGACTCCCTGGGGCCGCCGGCCGCCTACCAGTGGCATGTGGGGAACACGGGCGCCGGCACTGCCCCAGCGGGCATGCAGGCCAGCACGTCCGTGAGGGTCTCAGTGGGGACACAGGAGCCCGGCTCTGGGCGTTCCCTCACACTCGCCCACACCCCACCCATCTCCTCCACACACACATGGCACACACATGGCCACCGTCCCACGTGGCCTCTCACACTCGTGACCAGCCCCATGTCACCCCTCACAAACGCAACCACAGTCCCGTGTCTGAGCACGTAACCACACGTGACCATAATCTCATGTCATCTCACACACTCGACCAGTCCCATGCTGCCCCATGTCACCCCCACATGACCAGTCTGTCATAACACGTGATCAGTCTCCTGTCACCTGCCCACACATGCAACAATCCCATGTCACCCCTCACACAACCACAACCCCATGTCATCTTTCACGCAACCACAAGCCTACATCATGCATATACCTAAACACACAGTATGCATACACACGATACCCACACACACATGCTGTCTCTCGCACAACAATCTAGTCTTTTCTCACACACGCGACCACACTCCCATGTGTCTCTCACACAAACACGAATAGTATCATCTCTCACATACAGGTGACTAAAACCCTATGACACATACACACATCAGACATATACGTACCCACAATCCTTTGCCATCTCCCACCCACATGCACACACGACCAGACCCCAGGCCTGCTCTCCCTCGTTCCCTCGGTGGACCCAGGGGCTGGGCCAGCGCCTTCCCGAGTGCTGAGGACGCCGAGCAGCTCAGAGCCACTCACTCGCATACAAATGCAAATCCACCCCCACACGCACACCTACTCCAACACATGCTGCCACACACTACGGGAACCTCAAGGGCTAGAGGCATGGGGCAGGGGGCGGGGGGCACGGGTTCTGGGCCAGCCATGCAAGGCCAGGGTCGAGACATCCTGTCCACCAGACACCCCAATGTGCCACCCTGAGTGCCAGGCTGCCAAGGAACCCGAGAGGAAGGACAGAACACTGACGGCAGCTGCAGGGCCCTCAGGGGCTCACTGACCTCCCTCAGGGATGTGCTGCAGAGCAGGGGGACATGACCGACGGGGATCAGGAGCTGTCCCCCCAGGCTGGGCCACCCCCTCACCTGCTCGAACTTCCAGCCGTCGGACATGGTGGACACCATCTGCGTCAGCTCCTCCTCTTGGCACTGCAGCACCCGGTACACGTGCTTCACGGGGGCCTGTGCAGCGGGCAGTTAGTGGGTGGCCCAGCCAGTCCCCGCCCAGGACCCTGACACCCTTCTCTGGGCCCCCATCCTGCCCAGCACTCTGCCAGCCCCTGGCCAGGCCCCATCCCATGTCTGTCAGGCTCTACCCTTGTCCCTAACACTCACTGCCCTGCCTGCTCCCCTCCCGTGGCTGCGTGTGAGGGCGAGGGCCTGCAGGAAGGAAAGTGGGTCTGCTCTCACAGCAGACTGAAGGCAGAAGGGGTGACCAGGCTGCTGGCTCCCAACTGCAGGCCATGTCCTTCCGGGCATGTGATGTGCCCTGTGCCTACTGGCATGGCCATGGGCTGTGGACAGCAGTCCCCGGCCCTCCCCACCTGGCCCCAACCATCACTGTCAGAGCCAGGCCATTAGCCCCTCTCTGTAAAGGGGTCTAGGCATCAGCTGAGACAGTTTGTGCCTTGAGGGGCAGGGGCAGCCAGGGACCGAGGCTAGATGTGGGTTTGGGGGCCCAGGGCTCCCAGAAGCTGGGCAGGGGTCACTGTGACTCACCTGTGTGGTCTTGCTGTCTCGCTCTCGAATCTTCTCCTTGACCAGCTTGATGAGCGAGGTGATGTTGTAAAACTCGGCCTCCTCCAGCACCCCTGCAGGCCAGGAAGGAGGTCACCAACAAACCCAGGCTGGGTTCGTGCCTCTGCTCCCAGAGCTCCCCACCTTCCTGGAGGGAGGGAGAAGGATCCAGGAAAGCCCGGGCACACCGCCTCTCATACCCGCAGCGGCACCCACCTTCCTCAGCAAGGTCCTTGTTGGTCACCAGCTTGCCATGCCGCAGGTAGTTGAGGACAGGCCCGAAGTAGGTGGGGTCTCTGTCTATCAGGTAGGCCCCGGTCTCATCCTACAGAGGACAGGGACCCCAAGTGAGACAGGGAGCCAGGCCTGGACCCGGGGTAAGGCCCCCACGCTGTCTGCTTGGAGCCATGTCCCTGCTGGGTGTCATGGGAGGGGGTCCCATGGGAGGCCAGGTCTGACACCTCCCTTGTTTTGAACACTTCTGGGGTCAGGTGTGTCTTGAAGCCAGCTCAGAGGCCCGGGGTCATCCTGACGGTGCAGTGGTAAGCACTCAGCCAGCTGCCAACCCAAGTCAGCTACTTCGGTCCCCTCCCGCTCCTCAGGACAAGCTGCCTCCTCCACGGTGACTGCCCAGGGCCCTCAAGAAACCAGTTCTGTCCTCCTTGGCTGGCTGATCGGTTCAGCTCCCAGAACCCAGCCTCAGGGCCCATGTGGGAGCTGCTAGCCCTTGGCTACAACGCTAGCCCCAAGAAGACAGCAGTCTAGCCTGTGCCGCCCATGGTGCCTGGGCCAAGCCCAAGTGGCCAGCTGGTAGGAGTGTGTGTGTGTATCCACAAGCCACCCTGGAGACTTGGGACAGAAACCAGCACTCCCCATTGAGGGGCCAGGTGACAAAGTGGGAAGGAAGGGGCCAGGTGACCCAAACTAAGGACATCAGGTGTCCTGGAGGAAAGCACAGCAGCTGCCCGGATACGGTGCCATGCCCTTTCCATCACCCTGTTGGTGTTGAGAGCAGCAGGGGAGTCAGGAGCAGGGGTGGGGGGGAATCCCTTCCCCCAACCCAACACTCAGGCCGGCAGCGCTCCAATGTGCCTGAGACATCATGATGGTGACCGAGCGACTGTGTTTAAATACAGACATGAACAGGGGGCCTTCAGGGAGGCAAGAAACCACCTCTAAACACACACAGCACCACCCCTCTGCCTAAGTGCATGCCAACTGCCGGCGATCCTGCAGGACTGAGACCTGGCCCAGGGGGACAACCATGTCTTTCTCCCAAGGAACAAAGCTGGGTGCTTCCGCCCGACAAACACAGCTATGGCCTCCAATCCACAGAACTTCGGCTCTCTGAAGCCTCAAACTGCTGCCCTGGTGGCACCATGGGCTAAGCATCTGGTGGCTGGCAGCCCATGTTCAAAGTGTGGCCGTCGGCCTCTGCCCCACAAGGCCATGACCAGGAACTGATACAACAGCTGTCGACTCGGTCTGCTGGCTTACTCCTCGGAGCCCTAGTGGCACAGAGGCTGGAGCACTCAGCTGCTACCCCAAAGGCCAGTGGTTCAAACCCACCAGCTGCTCCGGGGTAGAGAAACAAGAACTGTCAGCGTCCCTAAAGACTTAGTCTGTAGCGCAGTCCTACTGTCGTCCGGGGTCGTAGTGAGTCAGCATCAACTCCGAGGCAGTGGGCTGGGTTTGGCGTTAGAAGTTGCTCCCGTGTGTCAAGTACTCCTGGCAGAGGGCTGTGTGGGGCCTGCGCTGGGCGCACCCCTGGAGCCCGGGTGATGCCCACATGCGGCAAGTGGTTTGCTCCGGCCTCGCTGGATCTGAGGACGGGGACTCTCCTCAACTGCCCTCCCTCCAACTCAGTGCATCTCCCCGCCCCCCACCATGAGAACAGACCCATCACTCTCACTTCAGGCAGGAGGGGTCAGAAGGGGTGACACTTGGCCTTGCCATTGGCGGGAAGGAGGGGAGTCAGTGACACAAGGCTGCAGATAGTGGTGAGGGATATGGGCAGCTAGCTGGGCGGGTGGCGGAAGTCCCAGGAGGAAGTGCAAGCCTTCACGTGGCTGTCTAGAAAGATTCTTTCAGGGAGGTGGTGGCCTTGCGTGGAAAGACTCGAGTATTGGGGGTAGCATGAGGGAGCCACCAAGTCAGTGTGACCCTGAGCCAATGTGACAGACACAGGGCTGGCAACCTCGAGGTGAGGGGCAAAAGGTCCTGATTCTTGACCTGGGCTACACTCACCACACTGCTAACAACCTGTCAACTTCTGGAAAAACCATGTGCTATGCACACGTGCAGGCGCGCGCACGAGCCTGAACTTGAGTGCACATTCCAGCTTCTGTAGCACCCTGAGCAACCAACTCCACCAGAGTCCTCCTTCCTCTTCAGACACCCCCCCCCCCACACCCTGGCCCAATCCCGAGCCCAAATGCTGCTGGCCCAGGTGAGCACCAAGCGCTGACACCCCAAACAGGTCCCAGGATGAGGTTCCCTGCCCGGCACCCTCTTGTGAGGTCAAGGCTTGGAGACTTCACAGGTGAATCAGCATCCTGTTTGTCATCTGCTGTGTAATTAATGGCGTCCCGGCCCTCTGACACCCCCCTTCACCTCCACCCTCCTCCTCAGATCTCCGGGGACAGTCCTTCATCGGAAGCACAGAAAAGTAACTGGGGCTCCCCAAGTCCTGGTGGGCACTAGCAGACCCTTGCACAGCCCCACTGTCGGGGCTCAAGGCACCCCACACACTCCCCACCTGCTGCGGGAGGCAGGGGTGACCTGCTCGCCTCCCCACTTGGAAGCCCGTGGTACCGGGCAGAGGATGGTGAAAAAAGGCCAATGCTGGCACAGGTGGATCCTGATAGATTAATTACCTCCCCCAAAGGACTCCAATTCCAGGAAAGGCATTTTTGTTTTTGTTTTTTTTCCCCACAGTAGTCTTGAGAGAGAGCAAAATAAAAGGCTGGGCTGTGGAGACGCAGCTAATCTGCTTCTGGATCGATTATTCCAGGCTGAACACAAGCCGCTGCCTCTCCACAGCCCCGTGGCCAAGAGCCATCTGAAAGCTCACTTGGTGCCCAAACCGGGAAGGCAGCCAGGGAGCGACCACTTCAGCCCCATGGTTTAAAACAAAAAGCAAGCCCTTAACGCCAGGTACACCCACACTGGGAAAGGGGAGGGAGGCACTTCGAACAAAAGTCTGTTTCTCTCTGGGGATGGCTGTCGCTTTCTGAGAGGCCGCGCTCTAAGAGTGGGGAGCAGTGGAGACAGCTGGGGTGGGGGTGGGGGGTGAACTGGGAGCTCCCCATTCTCCCCAGGTCACAGGGAGTTCTCAGTGCCCGAGCCGAGGCTTGTGGAAAGGGTCGGTGCCTGGCTCCTGGCCCGTGAGCGGGGCTGGCCATGCACCGGGCCAAGAGCTGGGGAGTGGGCTCGGGCGGGCGCCGTGAAGTTGGCGGAGCCGAAGGCTGGGGGAGCTGCGGGGAGTAAAAAGAGCTAAGGCGAACCCCCCACCAGGGCCTCACGATGCCAGACCAGGCTCTCACGGAGCCACCGATTCGTAAAACAAAGGTAACGATCGGGACGGTTCCCACGACAAGTCTGGAGGCAGCAGACGCTTTTAGTTTGCTGCAAAGCTCGGAACTGCCAGCCTCTTGCGAGGCCCGCAGGGGATCCGAGAGCAGATGTTCCCTCCTCAGCCCCCTAAGCGGCGAGCTCCATTGACCGGGCTGGCACCCCTGCCCCGAAACGCGGCATGCGAGTCACAGGAAAGAAGAGCCACCTTGTGCGACCCTCACCCACAGCGAGGCGGGAAGAATGCACGTCCTCCGGGCCGCCTCCACGGCCGAAAGGCCCTGGGCGGGGAGGAGCGGGCGGCCGCACACCCGGGGCAAAGGGCGGAAGAGCAAGTGGACGCAGAGCGGGGTGCGGGGCGAGCCC